TGTGATGCATCGGTGGAGGACGGAATTTTGTTTCCTACTGACTCGACTTTCCTTGATTTTTGCTGTTTTTTTCATCCTGGCATCGCTCATCATTTTCATCAAAAATCGCAATTAGCATGCGCGCGTGCTGTTTCTTGATGACTCGGAACTAAAAATCTTGTTTCCTGTGGATGGACTATCCTTGACTCGGACCGCTTCTTTGTTTTTTTTCATGAAAAATCCTGTTAGCATGCGTGTACGCTATTATCTCCCTGATAGTGACTTTTGATCACGTTCCTTTGTATTGGATGGGTCGCGACCCTCCATTTAGCTAGGAGGGGTGTCATGACTTTCGCATTGAATGCTGTGCCACTGTTGCGTCTGATGCGACTGACGCGTCTGACGCGACATTGGGTTACTTACCACAGACACTGACGCGACTGACGCGTCCGACGCGACATTGGGTTACTTACCACAGACACTGACGCGACTGACGCGTCCGACGCGACATTGGGTTACTTACCACAGACACTGACGCGACTGACGCGTCTGATGTAAACGCACTGACGCGACTGACGCGTTCGACGCGTCTGATGTAAACGCGACGTCGCGCGGTAGTATGCCCCATACTACTCGGGACATCTATTTAGGTTAACCCAATGTCGCGCAGTGTCTGTAGTAAGAAAATAACCCAATGTCGCGCAGTGTCCATAGTGAATAACCCAATGTCGCGCAGTGTCTGTAGTAAGTAAATAACCCAATGTCGCGCAGTGTCCATAGTAAATAACCCAATGTCGCGCAGTGTCTGTAGCGAGTGACCCGATGTCGTACGGTCGTATGGTGTCTGTAGTCAGCGAGCGTGTTGATCTCGTGGGATGAGATGGTGGCGCGTGCTGTCGTGATTCTTATCTTTTCCTTGAGAAATGATGTTAACGTGCGCGTATGCAATTATCTCTGTTTTTATGACTATCGTGATTCTCTTATTTTCTTTGTGAATCGTCGTTAATGCGCGCGTATGCAATTATCTCTGTTTTTGTGATGATCGTGATTCTTCTTTTTTTCCTTGTCGATCGTCGTTAATGCGCGCGTATGCAATTATCTCTGTTTTGGTGACTATAGTGATTCTTATTTTCTCTTTGTGAGTCGTAGCTAGCATCCATGCATGTTATTATCATCTTTCTTGATGTCGTGGTCTGACTCTTGTTCTCTTGATTTTTGCTGTCGTAGTCTTGCGTGTCGCGTCATGTTGTATCGTCTCCTGCGGTATCGCATCTCATCGTATTGCTTCTGTCGTTGAGATACGAGACACCGAGACAATACGTTCCTGCCTACCGAACCTAGCTAATCAAGCCGAGACGTTTCTAACCAAGCCGAGACGGTTTCTAACCAAGCCGAGACGGTTCTAACCGGGGGGGCGGTTATCGTAGTCTGGCTGTGCGTCTGTCTAGTCTTTCCTTGATTTTTGCTGTCTTATTCCCTATCGTAGTCTGGCTTTGCGTCCGTCTCGTATTTCCTTGATTTTGCTTGTTTTCTTGTTTTATCGCTGTCTTAGTATCGGTCATCCTGGTCCTTCTCTGGGGCCATGCTTCGGAGTGGTGCGAAATTTCATTTCTAGTCGCCTTGGATGGGTGGGCGCATCCCCTCTAGTGTGTGCTGAAATTCCTGTTTTTTGAAATTAGCGCATGCGTATGATGATTCTCTTGTGGTGACCTTTTGATGAGAGATGATCTGTCGTAGTCTATCGGATCGTGTTGATTTTTCCTTGACGGTCGTGGTCTGGGCGTTCCCCTCGGTGGTCTTCCTGATGGTGGCGGTCGGATGGAATCTCGACTTCATTTCGCTTGATCTTTGCTGTTTTGTTGCTGTCTTCATGTCTCTTGTTTCGTAGTCTTTGCTTGTGGTGATCCGTCGGGCGAGGACAGAGTCTCGTTTCGACTCGACTTCATTTTGCTTTATTTTTGTGATTTCTGGTGATTTTATCGCTTGACTTTCCTTGATTTCGTAGTCTCCCTCCTTGGCATTGCGTCGGGCGAGGACAGAACCTCGTTTCGACTTGACTTCGTTTTGCTTGATTTTTGTTATTTTTGTGACTTCATCCCTTGACTTTCCTTGAATGTTTGACCTGTGATCTTGCTCTGCGGTCGCTTTCTTGTCTCCTTGACTTTTCTTGATCGATGGGATCGTATTCGATTTCGTAGTCTGCGTCGGGCGAGGACAGAACCTCGTTTCGACTCGACTTCATTTTGATCGATTTTTGTTATTTTTTGTGATTTTATCCCTTGACTTTGCTTGAATATTCTGACTGTGGTCTTGCTCTGCGGTGGCTTTGACTTATTTCGTAGTCTCCCTTGTGGTGATGCCGAGAAACGAGACACCGAGACAATACGTTCCTGCTGACCTAAGCTAGATAACCAAGCCGAGACAGTTCTAACCAAGCCGAGACGTTTCTAACCGGGGGGACGTCCTGTAGTCTTGGCTTTTGTTTTTGCTGTTTTGCTTCGTATCGTAGTTTTGCTTCGTATCGTAGTCTGGCTTCGCGTCGTTTTCCTGCTATCGTAGTCTTCCTTGTCTGTGGTGATGCATCGGTGGAGGACGGAATTTTGTTTCCTACTGACTCGACTTTCCTTGATTTTTGCTGTTTTTTTCATCCTGGCATCGCTCATCATTTTCATCAAAAATCGCAATTAGCATGCGCGCGTGCTGTTTCTTGATGACTCGGAACTAAAAATCTTGTTTCCTGTGGATGGACTATCCTTGACTCGGACCGCTTCTTTGTTTTTTTTCATGAAAAATCCTGTTAGCATGCGTGTACGCTATTATCTCCCTGATAGTGACTTTTGATCACGTTCCTTTGTATCGGATGGGTCGCGACCCTCCATTTAGCTAGGAGGGGTGTCATGACTTTCGCATTGAATGCTGTGCCACTGTTGCGTCTGATGCGACTGACGCGTCTGACGCGACATTGGGTTACTTACCACAGACACTGACGCGACTGACGCGTCCGACGCGACATTGGGTTACTTACCACAGACACTGACGCGACTGACGCGTCCGACGCGACATTGGGTTACTTACCACAGACACTGACGCGACTGACGCGTCTGATGTAAACGCACTGACGCGACTGACGCGTTCGACGCGTCTGATGTAAACGCGACGTCGCGCGGTAGTATGCCCCATACTACTCGGGACATCTATTTAGGATACTCCTACCCACACCAAATCAGCATCAAAGAAACATAAATCTGTACACGACATGGCCAGAGAGATTGCTGATGCTGAGTGTAAGGCTCATCTACTCATGAATGAGACTAATGCCAAGGAATGTACTGCTCGCAAGCAAATTAAGTGTAGGTCTGCTTTTGACACTGCCCTTGCTGTCGAGTGTATGCGGGTAGAGCAAGCTGCTGCTCAGTGAGCTCATGAACTGGTGATGATCGAGAAGCAGATTGAGCTAGAGAGGATTTGGGCATGATCAGGACAGGGCAGAATTGTAGTGGACTACAAGTGTACTAACAATAATACTCAAATTGTAGACTATGGAGGCCCTCATCAACTTTGCGGCAGCTGGCAGATGTTACAAAATATACCATCTTGATGATGAGCTGGCAGGTACTTGCAATCAGACATCAAAATTGTACATTTGGCTGTTTCATCCCACATAGTCCGGGTATTTAAAGCTTTGTAATGTGAAGTACAATTATGATACATATTGTACATATTGCAGATAAGATAAAGCAATATATAAGTTCATCATTTTCGTGCCGATTACCTAATGCACATCAAAGCAGTCAGGGGTTACCTGAACATATGCTCTGAAAATCTCGGGCGACTAAATTTTCACCACTCTTGACTATTGGCTCCCTGTTGACAAGGTATCTCCGAGAGTACAATGTGCCTACCACACCAAGCAAAACTTCGCTGGTAGTAGGCATTGGGTCATCATCAGATTCGCCAGAGGAATCATCGGAGTTTGAATCAGAAGAACCAGAGCTAGAAGAAGACATGGGATCAACAAGAATGTGGGATTCTACCAGAAGAGCTGCAATGTATGACTCGAGCACTGATTCAGCAGCCTGCTGGCGCTCAGTTTGAAAGGGCATGGTGTTTTCAAAACAGTTTTCAAGTATCCTATGCTAACCGTTGTACTACGATAATTTGAACTCCGATGCAGCAAGCATTTGGGTAAGCAAAAACGGTCAGTGTCAAATCCGTCAAAATCAGGTCAAAATCAAGGGTTGTCAAAGTTGAAATCGGATTTGGACGTTTTTAGCGTCCAAATCCATGTCCAAATCGCATCCAAATTGGCCTCAAAATCCAGCTTTGAACTCCCCTAATGTTTGGCAGTTTTCAATACATATGCATAATTTTATGGTTATCAGGTATCACAGAAATGATCCTATCTGCATGCAATGACTTGATGTAAGGTTGAGATTACCATATAGTGTGAATGGAGTCAGTGTGTCTGGAGACTCTGAGTGTATTATTATACATGGTTGAGATCACCATATGTGGTCTTTGTATACCACAGTCCATCAGGTCAGTCTGGACACTGAATGAATAGATATATGTAGTCTACCATACAACTAGTCCACACCCATTCTGCCTTTGGCACAGGAAGCAAAAAAGAGTGCTTCGTGCTCTTTTTTTAGCTTCCTGGCCTCAGCTTCATCCCAATAATTCTGGGGGCTCCTGATGAGCATTGTTCCTTCATCACAGGAAGCCAAGGAGGGCTGCACCCTTTTTTGGCTTCCTGGCCTCTGGCTGCATCCTAATAAAATTTTAAATTGTGCATCTTGAATAATTTTGAAAATACATTTATGAGCAGCATTTCAAAAAAACTAAAAGTACAATCTATTATCTATCACACCACATAAAAGTACATAGTACATAAGATCAGTCAGTTCCATGTTCTTTGAGCAAGATTTTGACAAAAGTAAAAATACAATCTACTACACAACATAAAATTACAAAATATGTAACAGTATCATCGAATGTATTTATTTTCCTGTTTTTCCCTGCCTTCCATCTCCCGTCTCCCGTCTCCCGTCTCCCGTCTCCCGTCTCCCGTCTCCCGTCTCTCCCGTCTCCCGTCTCCCGTCTCCCGTCTCCCGTCTCCCGTCTCCCGTCTCCCGGTTCTCCTGCCCTCCCATTCTCCAGTTTTTGAGTCTCTAAGTGGTCTTTTTCTCCTTTTTCATAATCTTCTGCCATTCATCTCCCAGTCTCTTTTATCTTATATTTGTTTTCCCCCTGTCTGTAATTGTATTATATGTTGTTCCATTATTTGCTGTATGTATACAAAAAATACTACCATAACAATCACAGTAAGGAAAACACTCAAATCTAATCACATATCTGCCTTGCCCTGCTCAAACACATCATTTTTCGTTATTTAATGTCATGTACATATACAGTTACCAACGTCATGCTAAGTTCCCATCAGGCGACGCTGTTTGAGTCGGCGCTCGAAAACACGTGACAAAACCACACGAGATTTCCAAAAAGAGGTTAAGCGAGCTAAGCGCTCCCATGTGGCCTTTAGCAAAATACACAAAAGCCATGCGAGCGCCCATGCATTTCCGAAAACCGTCGTACTTTACTTCTTAGATATAATGATTCTGAAAGCCACTATCTCCATGTGCATAACCTGTAGAGAAGCTAATCAAAGTAGGGTTTGGGGTTGCAAGCTAGTGCAGGCACTCTGGGTGTCATGACTGACCTGACTGACTTTGGTATACAAAGACTACATATGGTGATCTCAACTATGTATAATAATATACTCAGATTTACACTATATGGTGATTCCATGCAAATATAAGAAGTTTATATTTGCACAAGATGAGGGTACATAAATCCACACAAATATAACATGTACATATTTACACAAGATAAGATTACAAGTGCTCTACACAAATATGACATGTGCATATTTGCGCAAATATGATATGTGCATATTTGTGCAAGATGAGATTGCAAGAGTTCCACACAAATATGCACATGTCATATTTGCGCAAGATGAGATTGCAAGAGTTCCACACAAATATGACATGTGGATATTTGCGCAAATATGAGGTTGCAAGTGTTCCACACAAATATGACATGTGGATATTTGCGCAAATATGAGGTTGCAAGTGTTCCACACAAATATGACATGTGGATATTTGCGCAAATATGCACATGTCATATTTGTGCAAGATGAGGTTGCAAGTGTTCCACACAAATATGACATGTGCATATTTGCGCAAATATGCACATATCATATTTGCGCAAATATCCAAATGTCATATTTGTGCAAGATGAGGTTGCAAGTGTTCCACACAAATATGACATGTGCATATTTGCGCAAATATGCACATATCATATTTGCGCAAATATCCAAATGTCATATTTGTGCAAGATGAGGTTGCAAGTGTTCCACACAAATATGACATGTGCATATTTGCGCAAATATGCACATATCATATTTGCGCAAATATCCAAATGTCATATTTGTGCAAGATGAGGTTGCAAGTGTTCCACACAAATATGACATGTGCATATTTGCGCAAATATGCACATATCATATTTGCGCAAATATCCAAATGTCATATTTGTGCAAGATGAGATTGCAAGTGTTCCACACAAATATGACATCTGCATATTTGCGCAAATATCCACATGTCATATTTGCGCAAAATGAGGGCCTTTGATATACCATAACGCAAGCTTAACCTAAAGGTAGTTACAAAATTATGGTTAGAATGGCTATAACTTTGATTTTCATCGGATAATGTTCCCACGGTCAAGAAAGCAAAATGCGAAAATCCACCAAGTCTTGTGATGTTGCTTTGATTGAGGGCACCAAAAACAAGCAACCACCTGAAGCGCCAGAGCGCTCTTGAAAATAGAGGGGGTGCCAAAAAGATGCAACCCCTGAAGCGCCAAAGTGCACTTGAGGTGCCAAAAAGATGCAACCCCTGAAGCGCCAAAGCGCACTTGAAAAATAGGCAGGGTGCCCAAAACATAAGACCGCTGAAGCGCCAGAGCGCACTTGGAGGCGCCCAAAACAGAAGACCGCTGAGGCGCCAAAGCGCTCTTGAAAAAATAGGGGGGGCACCAAAAACATCGGACCCCTGAAGCGCCCAGAGCACTGTTGAAAATAGGGGGGCACCCAAAACATACAACACATGTCAAGAACAGCTGGGCACTGGTGTGATCAAGTTCCTCGACATATTCTTATTCAATCGTTTTATTTTGGACCATCCTTGATTTTAAAGACCATATATGACTGCAGGTGTCAGCTAGCATGTGTTGGGGACGTTCCATCACATGTCGACATGCTTGTGAACCATGCTGGCTTCCTGCATGAGCGACGAAAATACATATGTAAGGTTTAAGACCACTGAAGCGCCAGAGCGCACTTTAAGATAGGGGGGTGCCAAAAACATGCAACCCCTAAAGCGCCAAAAGCGCACTTGGGGGCGCCAAACACATCAGACCCCTGAAGCGCCAGAGCGCACATGGCGCCCACAACATTCGGACCCCTGAAGCGCCAGAGCGCTCTTGACCACAGGGGGAGGGCAGCAAACAAGCGCCAAAAGCGCGCTGGGCGCCCTACCAAAGGGGAAGGGATGACCGAGGGGGCGCGAGAAAGCCAGGGACCCCCCCGCGCTGGCGCCAGACCCCAAAAAAAAAGGGGGGGGGGGGCGCCGAAAAGCGCCGGGGCGCCGAAGTCCGCCCCCCCGCACCCAGGAGAAGAAGATTAGTATTTTGACATTATCTACAGATCCCAACCGCCGATTTCTTTCATTCCGGGCTCATATTAATCCTTGGGCATCCCTCTAAAATATGTACCAGCCCAAGAAGAGAAAAAAATTTCAAACTTTGAAACCTATTTCTGTTTTGACCATATAAATATAATATCGTGAATATCGTGATCTTTGGAGAGATAGGAGCGGGCAAAAGCTCCGTCATAAATCTCTTAGCCTGGCCGACAAATAGCACACATATCACCTGACGCTCACCTGCTGTACCCTACATTGGACGGAGCTCCAAGTAACATTCGAAAATGGGACCCGATATCAGGTGTTTGACACGGTAGGCCTCCAGGAGCCCTGCCTACACACCGGAGAGTACCTTTCCGCAATTTCAAATGCATATGGCCTCATCACCACCCTGAAAGAGCGAGGAGGTATTAACCTCTTGCTCTTCTGTGTCCACAGAGGTAGAGAGAGTAACGGCAACCATGCAGAGCAACTACAGATTATTCTTCGAGTTTCTTTGCGAGGAAAGAGTCCCGCTTGCACTGGTCGTCACAAACCTCGAAAGAGAGGTAAACATGGAAGACTGGTACACACGGAATGTGGGCCACTTGGAGAAGTACAAAATTAGGTCCGTGGGACATGCATGCATAACTGCGACAAATCTACTCGATGGGAGGTATAGAGGCAAGTATGAGGAGTCGCGTGGCATACTCTGTAAGGTGATCGAGGCTAACTGCAATGAATCTATGGAAGGGTAGACTGGCGGGAAAGGATGGCTTGCTTCGTCCATTAGCAAACTTGTGGAATATGTCACTGGACATCCCAAGAAGACAGATATCATTGGAGTTCTCACAAAACGATGCGGGATGACCAAAGAAGTGGCTCAGCAGGTGGCACAGCAGATCAGAGGCGAAACCCTACCGCAAATGATGATTGAGAATTATGGTGACCTGCCAGTCCCTTTAGATGTAAGGAATATAGGTCCACAACAGGTTCGTGCACCGTGAAATCGCTTCACAGATTGTTGATGCTTCCATAGGGATATGAAGGTCGACCGCGTAATGTAGTGCTCTGGGGGGAGAGTGGAGTGGGTAAAAGCTCGCTCATAAACCTCATCATGGGTCGCGACGTAGCGGAAACATCTCCTGACGCCCTGTCATGTACTATTACACATGCTGCATATGATGTGACGATTAGCGGGCAACACTTCAGGTTGTGGGATACGGCAGGTGGGCATTCATTAACTCCGAGATTTTGGGACAGTGCGGATTGATAACCATATCGTTAGGGTTAAATGAGGGCTCAGAAGGCAAAGTTCCTGCGGCAGTAGCTGCAAGGAGGTTGGCTCTATTCCTTGGCGGCTTGAACAAGGGAGACGGTGTCCATCTCCTTATGTATTGCGTGCGCGGAACACGAGCCACAAAGGCTTTGCGAACCAATTACCAAACATTTTCATCAGCCATTGGTGACAGCAAAGTGCCCATTGTTATTGTGGCGACGTGCCTGGAAGACTGGCAACCAGTGATGACAGAGTGGTGGAATCAGAACAAGGACCAACTTGCGAAATATGGGATGCATTTCCCTGGATATGCTTGTGTTACAACTCTGCCCGGTGGACGTGCTGAATCCCAGGATTTACGACAACGTCGTGCACAGTCCTACGAAGCCGTTTGCAAACTTATTCTGGACTATTGTTCGCAAGCCCCTAGAAAAAGATAGCTGGGCACTGTGGCTATCGACGAAACGACGATCTATTGTGAATTGGCTTGTTTTGTAGGAAGATCAGGAGCTCGTACATATGATACTGTACATACGTATTACGCGTAGAAAGACGCTAGTTCAACGTGATCTGGGTGTGACAAACTGTGACCTGTGACGTTTAGTCTGACTCTATGGATCTAACTCTAACTGCGATACTACCAAAACCTTCAAAGCCCATCATCATTGATTCATTCTTGAGTCATACAAGACTCATGTATGCGATAACAGCCTTATCTCCTGCACGTGTCCGTCTTCCGATGATCCTGTACACGTACTTGCGTGTGTGAATGGGCTCTGATATGAAAACCGATAGTGCCAGAGCAACATGATTTGCCTAAAAGGTCATCGCAGATCTTCTATGATTGGTCGTGACATACTACTTCACGTATAAATCACCCTCGATGCATGATAACATGTCGCTAACAACCGTGTATGCGGGCATCTAAAGGCGCTTTCTTTTTGCATTATGCCGTGGATTACGACTTGGTTGGACTTTAAGCTGCGGTCACGGTGCATTGTACGTCGACACACGTGTTCAAGAAGCCTCTGAATCGGAATCTGGCGCATAAAAGCAGAGCCATTCTAATGTCGTGTTCAATACGCCTCTAGCATTCAATCTACCATGGATTTACTTCGCAATAGACGCAAACAAGCAGCCTCGACGGAACCCTCAATCGAGCCCTCTCTTGATGTTACGTCTCTCCCTTCCATCTCTGGTTCCGTGAGCCCTCCAGAGCCATGGGAGGAAGTAGACATATCATCCACCGACTATGCCCGCAGGCGCAGGGAACTTATGGAAATGATGGCTGACCTCCGATCCATGGGGTGGGTGATTATGGTTTTGATTATAACCTCAAATTGCTCACGCTACCTTCCACAGTGCCGACGCGTTGATTGCCTTACCATCCGTAGTCGTAATTGGTGGCCAATCCGGTTTGTGGTCACCTCCCTCACCCACAGCTATACTCAACCTGAATTTCAGCGGGCAAAAGCTCACTCGTCGAGGCCGTCAGTGGGGTACGTAAGCAGATAGTTTGTTTTTTTATTCCTTTATTCATTATTTTTTTCTCTTTACAATAAAGATCAACGTCCCAAAAGATAGCGGAACGTGTACAAGGTGACTCTAATAACTACTAGCTATCGCGGGTATGCTCATACTACGATATGCAGATGCCCTATGGAATGTAACATGTCTAGTCATGCCAAATCGTGGTCCTGCACCATCACTCTACGTATCGGTTTCGATAGTAACGGCCTAGACCTTCAAAAGCCTACTAATGTGCGATTTGGCCCAACGATCACTGACAGAAGTGAATTCGAAGTTTGGCTGCGTCGTGCTCAGGCAGCCATTTTGAACCCGAATGTTGCTTCTTCGACTTTCCACGCAAAGACCGTCGAGGAACTCAAGAACATAAAAAACACATTGAAGTTTTCCCGCAACGTAGTATGCGTCTCGATTGAAGATCCCGACGCAACTGACCTGTCATTCTATGATCTACCTGGTAAATTATACTTATATGGATTGAGACGACATATCTGATGAGCAGCGAAGGCCTAATACAAAACGAAGAACCCGAAGCTGTCGCATTGGTGAAAAATTTGGCAGAACATTACATCGAGAAAAAAAATACTATCATATTGACTACAATTCCCATGAGCGGTACGTGTTTGAACTGCAAAATTATTTCCTACTGAATTGATGGGCGTGGTACCAGATGATATGGAGAATCAACAATCTATGAGTCTCGCCAGGGCCGCTGACCCCAATGGAAAGCGAACAATCGGTGAGTCACCCATACTGCAGGACAGTGATTAAATGACCTAAAGTTCTTCAGGCGTACTTACGAAGCCTGACACGCTTGGTACTGGAGCTATCAACCAGCGCCGCAAATGGGTAGAAATCATCGAAGGTCGTTCGGAGGAGCACACACTGACGCACGGTTTTTACTGTGTGCGTCTTCCTGATGATTCCGAACGTGCACAGCGCCTATCTCGTGCTGAATCGCAAAGGCGTGCTGCTGAATATTTTGACACAACGTCGCCCTGGAAGGACGTAACCGAGCGTCATAGGTTCGGCATTCCAGGCTTTGTCTCCGATATAAGCCGACTGCTCATTCAATTGATCGAGGAAACGTGCGTGGACCTTGTTCTAGCTGACTCGTTATAAAGCGCTTACATTGTTTATAGTTTACCGTGTCTCAGAGAAGATGTCGACACGCTCCTCGCGAAATGTACCAAGGACTTCGATGAACTGCCCCCACCACTTGAAAACGACCCACAAATCGAAGTTTTAGGACGGGTTAATACGTTCTGCGATGACTTCAAGAGCTTTGTGAATGGCAGTCACGAAGACAAAAGTCTTGCGCAGCGGAATCGTGCTCTATATGCTATTTTCAAGAGGGATATACGCGGCACTGCCCCTGACTTTAGGCCTTTCAATGACCCGGAACACTATGTTCCACTGGATGATACTGAAGGGAACATGACTCTGATTGAGCGAGACCCAGGCGTGAAAGTGATGGGCATATATGACATCAGCAGGGTCATCCAAGAGTTTGTTTTCGTATTTTGTTGTAGTTGGACGGCAGCTCAATCATTCATCAAGGGCAATTGGATGGGAGCTTCCGAACAACGTGCCATATCAGGCAAAGGCAAACCTCATTACTCAATTCACCAAACTTTGGGTTGTTCCGTCTGAGCGCTGTCTTGCTGGTGTCAATAATGTGCTTGACCAAGTCGTCGACACGCTCATAAGCACCCACTTTGGACGCTTCAAGGTTCTCGAGGAATATTTTGGGTAAGCGTTGACTCTTTATGACCATCGTCTGGGCTCAAGTTGTTCTTGAAATCAGCAATTTGATTCGAATTCAGGTTGACATCTGCAGGGCGCGTGCCAAAGACGCCGTCAAAACAGCGTTGGATCTGGAAACTATTCCACACTATACTCAGAACACGCACTATCTTCAGACACTCCGCGAAAAATGGCTGGCTCATTATAAGACAGTTCGGAGTAGACCTGCTCTGTACATGGCACCTATACGAGCGGAACCTAAGTCGCCCAACATCTACGAAGCTCCATCACGGCCAGTTGCTGAAGGCAAATGTGACGATTCACCATCTTTTGGGAATACGATCTCATTCTGTAGTCTTGATAAGCCAAAGGTCAAGTTTGGGGCGTCCGAAAACAAAGAGAAGGCCGAGACGCCCAAAGCCAAAGCTTTGAGGGCTCTTGCGGAAGCGGGATATGCGGGTCTTCAGGTTTCGGATCTCGCACGATTGTTACCTCCCGACTCATTCGAGGAAGAGTTGGTTGTGATGGCTGACGTTCGAGCTTACTTTCACATTGCTTATAAGGTAAATCTCGCTCATCATCTCCGTTTCAACGCGCTTATCACCTCGACCAGCGTATCATCGACCATATTCCTTTCACGATCGAGCATGCTCTTCATCATGCCCTAGCAAAACAACTTTCGCAGAGCCTTCTCACGAGCTTACTGACTGATGCCGCATCTGGATCCAACTTCTCCGAGCGTATGAAGGAGTTGGTCAGCGAAGATGCTTCCATTGCTCAGAGACGCCTAATGCTCTCGACAAGAAAAGAGCGCCTATTGAACATTCGCCGGAGACTCATGACCTTCAGTAATAGTACTTGATCATTGCGAGGCGTCACGACGTATACTTTCATGCCAATATAAATATTCTTTACCTCCTGTCGGCAATTGGTGTTGTTGTTGCTGTATTGTACTGTTATATTTCATACTTGCGAACAAAGTAGTCTGATTCTCTACTCGTATCAGTGCATTTCTTGTGATAAAAAGAAGAGGCTTTGAGGTGTGCGCGTCGACCAGATTTGTGAAGCTGCGAAGGAGTTGGCTTTGTCCGGTCATCATTACATAACCCGGCAAATAAACTGTGCCCGTCAGCTTTACTGTGACAGCATCGATTCCGGTTGCTCGTACTCACTACTAGTTTTGATAAACTCTCCGCGTTAACTCAGAGTAACGCATCGTCCAGCTTCCAGCTGTGACTTATTTCCGCGCGACAATTTAGTCGTCTCCGTTATCAGATAGCTCACCAGCTAACGATATCTACTACTTATACCTCCCGGATCATTGTGCAATTTGGCGCTCACGCACATCATCAGAACACTCAACACACACTCGTCGTGGCATGCGACCATAACAGTGTTTTACTTCGTGAGCCTTCTCTTTCATCGTTTTCTGCAGATTTTGAGGATTCAGACTATTCGCCAGCTACTAGCTTTCGCAAACCATCCCGTCACCAATTGATACCATCCATGACTTCGATCCGTTGGAAGCCACAAATCACGTATCGCTCCCCCACTGCAGGGACAACCGCTCTCCATCTAGAAGTGCCACCAGTTGGCTCTCATGCATCTTCGTCGAGCCATTCTCCTTCCCCTCAATCGCTTCAGCATTGGACAGTCCACCAGCCCAGCCATTCTAAGAGACATAAGAGATGGACGATGGGTCCTTCACTGCCACTTTATCATCCTCTTGGTCGTCTTGCCCTATCTCTCCCTGATTTGGATCCAACTGCGTTCGGGCTCCCCGCGCCGGCAGTAATAATGGATGATCCCACGCGTCGATCTTCAAATCGCGCACGTCGCCCCGCGCCCAAAGTACGCGACGCAAATGAGCCAGCTTCCTCCCCCGTCCCTTCTATCGATCTAATCCCTGTCCCCGAGCTAGAACTCAAGGAAAAGCCTAGTTCCCGCAGGAGGCGCCCTGCTGGAGGTGGGAACAAAAGAAAGCGTAGAGAAGTTGATGACGGTGACGCGACCTATCCTGCCAAGCGCTCCCGCAACCCAAGGGGCTCCGCTGCCAATACCACGGCACGCACTCCCACCGTCGGAGAGCCTTCTCCTCCCTACTCTGTTGATAATTCTGCTCTTTCCCCTGCACCTGATGACCCTCCGGAAGAAAGACGGCCCGAACGCCGGACCGCTAAGTCACGTGGTCTCCCTCCTCGTAGGGATTCTAGTGGAAGTGAGGCAACTGTCACTTCAGTATCGGCCTCGATTGTCGCGGGTAGCGTTGCACTTCTCAAAGATACCGGTGAAGATGCCCTGGACATTGACACTTCGCCACCTAGCGGGCCCAGGGACACTGAGCGCACCACCCGCAGTGGAGACCTCAGCAGCAAAGATAGTTCAGATGGAGGTGACAAAGCCGCAAATAACGTTCCAGGGTAGCGTGGCACTTCCTTTGTGTCTCCTGTATATGTATGTATATGAGACATTTTGGTTTATTTAACGATATGCATTCCTTGTCTATTGCTATTTGTTCCTGACCACTTTTTCTCATCGTTAATATTTAACTGTTCGATCTATTTACTCTCTCATATTATCTCGTTGACTTATGTAGTGTGGTTTGCTTACGAACGGGATAAAAATTATGAAGTATCTATATTGTCTCGATCGACGAGGTGATTGACCTGGAATAAATTAATGGATGGCATTCATAAATATTTAAATATATGACGTTCCAGTAGTATTAATGGTTCAAGGAACTCGAAGCTTCTACATGAGGTGGATGTAACCTTTAATTTTATGAATGTTCCTTCTGGGTTAGACGGGGGAACGGATACCGTGTGTGTAAAATGCACGAGTTTCCAATCTCGGAGCTTGAGAATAGCCCGTATTGAGTTCCATTATTCGGTTCTGGGAAATCAACCCCACAACAACGTTCAGCATCGTACTATCAGTGCAATGAAGAGCGGCAATGGCAAAGGCCCAGTGCCACCACTTATCATCATTATAGGTCAGTCTAATCAGACAAATTGAAGTAGTGCCAGCACCGCTATGTTGTCAACTTCAAGTTGCGGCGCTCGTATTATCTACTAAATGAACTGCCTCCATCACCTAATCCCCAATGCGTTGCTAATTATGAGTACACCCTATAGCCAGTACTGTCGTTACGCCACACTGAGACAACTTGAATGTTGCATGGGACACGTTGCATCCATGCATTGCAGGGATTTTCATATCTGGCGCCTGGACCGCATCGACGTCTGTTCTAACAATCCGGGGGATAATATTACTGGTACATGAAAAACGCCGAACACGCTGCACGTCAAGATTCTCCTTGCGCCACTGGATTTCGTCCGCAGTCGAATCATCTTTGCGATGTCGTCGTTTCCCGGTAGAGGACTACCTAGTATTGTGAGTGGTGTTTTGCCCTTCCTCAACACAAAAAAGTTAATCCCGAAGTCAGTTACACACTCCAAGTCAGAGCGCAGCTTCGCATCATACAGAAACATGCAACGTTCTCATCTTTGGAGAAACGGGCGCTGGTAAAAGCTCTTTGGTCAATTTGGTCGCCGGGACGCAAACGGCGCCGACATCCTGCGACGCTACGGGATGTACAACCGAATCCAATGCGTACGATGCCTTAATCCAGAATGAGACCCTAAAGTTGAAAGTGAAACTTTTCGATACAGTCGGTCAGTGCAGTTCGCCTCTCTTTGCTGTTTGTTGCTGAACCGGATTACAGGTCTCGGTGAGGGCCCTGAAGGAACAGTCCCCGATAAGGATGCTCGGCGGATTCTGAAGAAGCTCCTTCGAGATCTTATGAAGCAGCAAACCGACATTCATCTCCTCATGTACTGTGTGCGGGGTGTGAGAGTGACGAAGGCGCTCTGCCGCAACTACAATTTAATCCACTCTGAAGTGAAGGAGAGAGTTCCAATCGTCCTTGTCGCCACAAGTTTAGAAGACAAAAGACCAGAAATGGAAGAATGGTGGAGGGATAACGAGCGATCCATCTCAAACTTTGGGATGACCTTTGCTGGTCACGCATGTGTCACCACAGCGACTATTGACAGATATGCAGGGGACGAGCTCAAGCGGCGCCGAACACAATCATACCACGCCGTCTGTCAACTTATCAAACAGTGTCGCCTGTCGCAAAGGGTTCAAACACCACTGTCTGATGTCGGCCGACATGGGAAAACCCCTCGTACCCATATTTTACCAATGTCGATAAGCAGGAAAAAGCATAAAGATATCGTACTCGCTGAGGAGACAGCGGCAAGCGCTGGTTCACTCGTTCACCATGCCGTGGCAGAGGAGATAGCGTCGACAGCTCCTGACTTACGACTCTGTACATTACAGGATACAGCAACTGTTGATCTGCATGACGAGATTTTCAAGGCATTCGAAACCATTCGGCTCAAGGACCCGCGTCTAGAAATCAAAGAGCACTCGATCCCACCCGAAATGGGTGCAAGGTGTGTAGTCATGACATGCTTCTTCCGCCGTATCTCTCCAACATTCATGAACAGTGACGACGATAAAAATATCATACTTGCTGAGGAGACGGCGGCAAGCGTTGGTTCCTTCGCTCACCACGCCGTGGCAGAGGAGATAGCGTCGGCAGCTCCTGACTTACGACCCTGTACATTACAGGATACAGCAACTGTTGACCTGCATGACGAGATTTTCAAGGCATTCGAAACCATTCAGCTCAAGGACCCGCATCTGGAAATCAAAGAGCACTCTATCCCTCCCGAAATGGGTGCAAGGTGTGTAGTCATGAGATGCTTCTTGCGCCGCATCTCTCTAACATTCATGAACAGTGACGATGATAAGAATATCATACTTGCTGAGGAGACGAACGCAAGCATTGGTTCGCACGTCAACGTCATGGCGGGAGATGAGGTAGCGCCCACAGCTCCTGACATGCAGCACCGTAGCCTGCAATGTTTGGAGACTGTCGACCCGGACGACAAGACCTTCGGGGCGATCGAAACCATTCGACTCGAAGACCCACATATTGGAATCAAGGAGAACCCCATCACTTCCGACAACGATGATGAGTGCGTATTCTTCATATGTTCCTTGTGTCATGTTTTGCCAACATTGACGAGTAGGAACAATGATGTCGTACTCCCGGGGGAGATAGCAGAAAGCAATAGTTCACGCGCCAACCTCGTAGTGGGAGGTGGGGTAGCCCCCACAGCTCCTAACATAGAATGCCGTATGCTGCAATGTTCAGATATTGTCGACTCGGATGACGAGACTTCCGAGGTGCCCGGAACTATTCGACTCGAGGACCCGCATCTGGGAATCAGACAACCGACATTGACGAGTCGGAAGAATGATGTCATACTCGCTAGGAAGACAATGGCAAGCAATGGTTCTCTCGTCAACCTCATGGTGGGAGATGTGGTAGTACGCACAGCTCCTGACGTGCGACGCCATTTACTACAATGGTCAAAGACCGTCTACTTGGATGACAATACTTTCAAGGGATTCTTATGCCTTGTGAACTTGCCTCTTAGAGCCAGAGGATATACCGCTATCGCTCCCAAAATGGGTACAAGGTGCACAGTCTTCATATTCTCCTCGTACCACATTCCAATTTGATTGGTAGGAACCAGATCCCAAGTATCCTGTCCTTTCGTCGACTCGAAGACCTGCATATAGAAATCACAGCAGTCCTTATCCCTCCTAACATGTATGCAAGGTGTGTAGTCTTCAGGTGCCCTTTGTACCGCAGCTGTCTGATTTTATAAGTAGGAACAAGCATACGATTATGGTGCTCTTTTGGCAGACTGAAGCAAACAAAAGCTCACTCGTCAACATTTTGGCGAGAGAGAAGGTAGCGCGCCCAGCTCCTGATATGCGACGCCATCTGCTGCAGTGCACAGAGGCCTTTGACGAGACTTCTGTTGAAATTTTTCGATTCGAGCACCTGCGTTCGGCCATCATAGAGTACCTTGTCCCTCCCGAACTAGATGCTAGGTGCGGAGTCTTCAGATGATCTTCGTACTATAATTTGTCTAATTTGAACAGTAGGAAGAAGCATGAACTCGTCGTGCTCTTTTGGCAGACGGGAACAGGAAACAGGTCACTCATCAACCTCACGACGGGAGAGCCGGAAGCATCCACGCCTAATATGCTACGCCGTATTCAATGTTCAGAACCTGTCAACTCGGATAACAAGACTTTCAAGGTGTTCTCACGTTTTGAAGATCCGCATCTGAGAATCAGAGGATACCATATCCCTCGAAACATGGGTGCAAGGTGTGCAGTTTTCAGTTGCTCTCCGTTTCGTATTTGTCTAATTTAACCAGGAATGACCATAAAATCGTCACGCTCTTTTGGCAGACGAGAACAGGTAAAAGCTCACTTGTCAACCTGATGACGAGAAAGGAGGTAGCGCCTACAGGTCCCGACATGCAACGCCGTATTTTGCAATGTTCGGAAACCGTCGACTTGGGTGACAGGACTTCCGAGGTATTCTTACGCCCTGAGGACCCGCCTCTGAAAATTATAGAGTACTCTATCCCTCCAAAAATAGGCGTAAGGTACACAATCTTCAGATGCTCCTCGAACCATAGTTGTTTAACTTGATTAGGAAGTCTAAGCGTCAAAGTATCGTGCTCTTTGGGGATACAGGAGCAGGCAAAAGCTCACTCATCAACCTCATGGCGGGAAAGAAGGTGGCGCGTACATCTCCTGACATGCAACGCTGTACGATGCACTGGCAAGAGTATGACATTGGCTTCGGCGACACATCTTACAAAGTCTATGATACAATTGGACTCGAGGCACCGCAACTAGGAATCAAGGAGTACCTCGAGTTGGTCGAGAATGCCTATCAGCTTATCGAACGATTGGATAAACAAGGTGGCATTGATCTGCTTTTATTCTGCGTTCGCGCCGGCAGAGTCACTGCTACGCTGCAGAACAATTACAGGCTCTTTCACGAATTCCTCTGCGAGAAGAAGATTCCCATTGTTCTTGCGATCACGAACCTTGAAAGAGAGAATAGGATGGAGGACTGGTGGGAGAGAAACGGAGGTACCTTCGACAAGTATCAGATAAAGGTCGCTGGACATGCGTGCATCACCACCGCCGATGGACTGGATGGCAGACACAAAGACCTTTATGAAGAATCGCGCGTCACGATCTGTGACCTGATTGACAAATTTACTGCAAACGAGCAGAAGCAAACATGGTCAGGAGGGGATAATCTGTTCGTGTCGTTGACGAGTAAACTGAAGAAGTTGTTGAAGGGGAGTTTGCATGTGAGAAGGAAGGATATTGTCCCTCATCTCACTAAGGGTTGTGGTATTTCTCGGGAAGTCGCAAAACAGTTGGCTAATATGATCAAAGCTACTTGACTTTACCCTTCCCTTTGTCGTTAATATATGGATTGATATTACGTATTCCAGTACAACGCTTTCACAAAGAACGCCACACGCACAGTCACTGGGGCAGACAGTTGAATTAATGAAATTTAAAGGAACGTTGCTGCTTCTGTATGTCTGAGTGTCGAGAAATCTAAGAAACTAGTAAGGGGGGGGCCTAAGTGGTATGCTTGCGATGAAGTGATATTTGGAGACATACTGAGTGTGCCATACACGAATACGGTGAATAGCCACCGATGCCCGTTCCAGCGCGAGTCAGAGAGGGCCAGGCTGTGGCCTGCATAGCTCAAGATGAAATGGGGTCAATGAATTTTCATAACCAATACAGCGAACGTAGATGCAGTGGCGATTGAGGTGCACGTTCTCTCGCGAAGCAAAGCAACGAATTGTAAATAGCGGTGGTGAAACGGTGATAGGCCTAGTTCAGCACTGGATACGAACTTTGTACTTGTGGTACAAGAAGTTCGAAGGATAATAATAATGACGCTCACGTTGCACCCATGATTGTTATGTGTAGAAGGTCGCCGGTGGATCGACCACTCGATAATAATAACTATATGATATCGATAGCCATGTGGTGGTACGTTCTTCTGATTTGATGTCGAAAAAAGTACTTCCGGATGAAATGCAGACCAAAAACCGTGGCTGGGCTGTGCATGTGTTGAACGTCTGAACATGCAAAAAGTTGAACAGTCTTCAGCATAAAAGATGCTATTCGGATGATCCTGAGATGTCACGTGCTTAATAGTACGGGTAATAATATTTATGGTACGTACATATTGCAATATTTGCGGCGTTATCGTGTGTAGCCGCACCGGTAAGGTCAATACCCAAACGAAACTCATGCCGATGAGTCGGATGTGATCGCGCCCATGGATGTGCCAAAATTGACCTAACCTTCAAGCCTCCCCAGTGCCGCAATCTCGGAAAGTTGAAAACGACTGGAATGACCTGCAGCCTGCAGTTGAGACGTCCGAGTGCACATAGTAGTGCGTATATGCGTATTATAATGATGTGACTTAGCTATTGACCTCATTCGCCAACATCCGAAGACCCGTGTCGACCCATCTGTTTCGCCGTTCGCGATTCCGAACGATAAGGTTCAACGTTCCGTTACTGGCTCGATCAGAACACTGTTGTGTCCGACTCGGCCCTTCAGCTATCCCATTGAGCATTGACTAACCTTTGGACTAGAATCTGCGAGCAAACTTGTTGTCCTGTGAGGGAAGCATGGCCAATCAAGATTCTTTTCCTCCATCGCGCGATGCACGTATTATAACCTCCGTTTGGCATAGATCAAATCAGCCGCGGAGTGACTTCGTTAAAACGTCTTCGCGCCATATGCAACGGCTTCACGTCATAATTTAAAGGGCAGACAATATTAATCCTGGAAAAACGCCCTGCCAAGTTTCATTCCAGATCCGCAACGCTCTTTTCCTCAGTAGAAGTACTACTGTCTCGGCTGCGTTTTTAAGCAACCAGTCTGGGGTACCCAACTATCCTTACATCCCCGCTCGCCCGATTTTGCGTCTTTTTCCGCATCACTGTCTTTAAGTGACACACTCTTTGCCTCCGGCTTTGCAACATTCCTTCGTCAGATGGAGGAATTACCCTCAACGGGGAGAAGCATATACCAAGAAAACATCGACAGCAGCAGCACCCATACTCTTGGTGGTCGGTCGACCACGTCATTGAGAGGTAACGTGACCCTTGTCATGCCATAATTTAGTCGGACATAATCGTGACTCTGTGTTACAGGTCATGCTGCCCCAATTTCAGGAGCTGGCTCTGCCGTTGCTCAGTCGGAGTTAGATTTATTCGCTGATCCATTTGCCAGTACTACTCCGGCTGGAATAACAATCAATGCCCCTGCACATCAAACCGAAGCCGATATTCCTCAACCAGAGCATCAACCAGCAGATACAGATGCAGTAAGGTTGCCTGCTGCTGCCCCTAGACCTCATCTATACAAGCGAAGATGGTTTATAGTCACTTCAATCGTTGGTGCTTGTTTAGGTATCGCGTTACTTTTCATCGTTCTGTTCCCTGTGCTCCGCGCAATCGTTCAGTATGTGATTAACCAATCTACGTTGGATATCCAACAAGCGGCAATATTGTCACCTTCAAATACGTCGTAAGCGGGCATCGTAATACACAGTAAACACGCTCACTAATTTATCATGCAGCTTCACTTTAGCAATTCTAGGCGTCGTAGGTATTTGTGTTACATTGCGACCGTATCTGTTGACCATCGACTTCAGGTATCTCATACTGGTATCTTCTCCGCCACAGTGGCCTTCTCGCAGCCAGTAAACGTGAGCTGGATAAATGGCAGTGTTGAAGTACCTCTCGGCTATATGTCGCTTTCGACCCTGCATGCTTCCAATAAACGGGCAACGATCAACGATACGACGACCTTTTACATCACAGATCAAAACGCCTTCGGCCGCTTCACAAGCTCGATGATTACATCGCAAAATTTCACTTGGAGGTTACAGAGTTCTAATCTGAATGTCCAGGCAATGAAGTTCCCTACCGCGCATGGTATTTCATTCAATAAGCTGGTGACCATCAATGGTGCAGCATTCCCATTCACGTAGATTTTGGTGCAACTGACAAGGATTCTTCTCAGGCGCGAACAATTTTGCTGGAAATGTCATTCTCAAGGATATGCAATTACCCAGCGACAATCCTGAGGGAGGCATTGATTTTGTGGCGGTCACGCAGTTGAACAATACAAGGTATTCGTATTCTTCAACCTAGAGCCTTCATTACATTCTGACCTGATAACTTGGTATAGCCCTTTCACACTGGGGCTGGGAACAGTAGTTTTTGACCTCGTGTACCAAAATGTCTATCTTGGTACTGGAACGGGACTCAATACGAACATTGTAGGTCGTATATTCTAAGTTCTCAATTTCTATGCCCCAACTCGCTTTAGGTGCCTGGTCCTAACAACATCACGCTGAGCGGTATTTTGGTACCCCAGACGACGCCCGCCAACCTTGCGTCGGTCTCGCAGCTTTTCACCAATTACATCAATTTCGAAAGTTCGCCCGTAATTGCAATGGGCAAGTCAACACTGCAGCCAGATGGCTCGCAGATATCTTGGCTTAGCCAGGGTTTGGAAAGCCTTCAGCTAACAGTGCCATTCAAGTCAACCACGCCAATCAACCCAATTCGGGCTATCCAGATAGGGAGCATGGCGCTTGCGTTCACCCCAGAGACGGCATGGACCCCGCGAACGGATAGTAACTCAGTTCATGCGACCATGCGTGAGTGATTTGCGTGAAAGCAGTCCTGTCATTATGTCTGACTCAGACGCAACAGAATTACCTTTCGGGTTTGGGTTGTCTATTGACCAGATTCAGAATGAGTTTACAATTGTCAAAAACGGTTCGAATGTCGCGGGATTGAATACGGTATGATTGCCCACTTCATTTTCAATTTGCCGGTAACCGTCTTACCGCGCAGCCTCTGGGTGCATCAACATCTTCAATCACTGTGCTGAGCCCAACGGACACTGAGGGCACCATTAACATTACCATTTTAAATAGTGTTTTGAACGCTACAGATGCAGAGCATGACAGTTTCGCCGCATTCAGTAAGTGTACTGTTTTTGAATAGTGCGATTGGTAATTGTATATTCTGCAGACATGGAACTCACGGATTCTACCACGACCAATTTCCTGCTGGTTGGCAATTCTCGTGCGGTCGCGAACATGAGCATTGGCCAGATTACTTTGGACCCTATCAAGGTCAACGTGTCGACCAGCCTCAGTGGCCTGCAAGGTCTGAAGGGGTATACCACTATTGGGGCTGTCGACGTTATTGGCGGGACCCAGCAAGCCCTTAATCTTAGCATCGACGGCAAGAAGGTTTCTTAGCTGTTATTAAACTGTGGCTGATTTCATTCGTAGTGTCCATCTATAACCCTTCCAATCTTGATCTCGCTACTGGCGACCTCCGTTAGTGGTAGCAGCCAATTGTAACTATTTGAAACTGATACATTTATTGTCACAGAACTCCAACTGCAACGCGGTGGTGCAATCCTCGGAACGGCACTGATGCCCAATCTGACACTGAGCATGGGGAATAACTCGGTTCATTCGATATCTGCTTTTGATGTACGGACGTCTACCGTCTTTGTGCCCACAACTTTTCAGTTAATCACATTTACAGCCTAACAACTCACCCGAAGGATTGCAAACACTGAGCCAGTTTGTTGGCGGTCAAGGTATGTCTTAAATCTTTATGTTCAAAAGGGGAATAATTAGGTTGCCAGACGTGGAGCTTAATATCGTAGGCTACAGTGGGAGCACACAGGTCGCTTCTCTTCTGGAGGCTTTTGAAAGTATGAACATCACTGCCACGCTCCCTGGTCTCAACTCCAGTCTTTTGTCGACGGGTTCTTTGGAGAGTAAGTTGGCTTGCTTGTTTTCAGACCAACCTGTTAAACGATCGAGTAGTCCTTCCTACCACTTTCGTTACGAACAACATCAGTCAGGTCACTGTAGCACTCGTCAATCCTTTCACTGCAGGCTTTGACATCACCAGTATCTCATCCAATGTCACCTCGCATGGCTTGCATCTTGGTTCCATTAACACTGCGACGAGTTTTAACTCTGCAGGGAAATCGACTTCGAAGTCTCCTGCTCTCAACATGACCATGAACTATGATCCGCCGACACTCTTCACACTGACTCGCGTGCTCGCCGTGCAGGCAGGTTTGGATCCTACACAACTGGACGGCATCGTAGCTCTTGGGGATTATCAGTATGTAACTGCCACGACAACGGACTCTGAGCCAGTTCCTCAACAACAACGGAGAGATAACATATACACGTAAATTCTACAGTTTTCTTTCTGCTTCTGATATTAAATCGACTATTCAGGGGATTCAATCTGCTAAATTTTGTTGACCAAGCGTTCAAGCAGTTAAGGAGTGATATAGAGCTATCTGCACAGCTTACGATTGGTTCGAATTGTACCGTGAATTTGCTTTCGATTGCTCACAACAATACTGTTACAGGGAACTACGCGACGATACTCAGTTACACTCAGACTG